TAGGACGTTTTCTATCAGTAAATCTGCCCAATAGAAGTTTTCTCTATTTTTTACTGTCTATCTAGTGATGCTCCAAAATGAAGTTTGGGAGTAGAAGTTTTAACACAGCCTTGTTTTGCTTGAAGGATGAAAATATTCAACTTTTTTGTCGAATCTATTGTCTTCATTCACAAAAAGCTGATCATTCATCTGATTTCCACATGCAACCTTCATCCCTTTGCATTCATTTATCCTGCAGGTTGACTTTATAATTTCCAGCCATTCGTCCGTCTGGTTCCTGTCTTTTTCTGGGTGAGTGATGACATCATTGCGCTGCATTAGAAGAACACAGATTGAGCTCTAAGCTCTACTTCAATCTATTTGTTCATGCAACATCTATGTGTTTTTTTTTTCTGGGGTGTCTTATTTATGAAGTGAAGAACTTCAGTAGAAAATGGAAGGTGGCGGAGACGAAGCAAAGCTTGAGACGTTCTGATGCTGTTTAGCGGTGCAGGGCTCTTTGAGGCTGGTTCATCTCAGGTCAATATCGGGAGGATTTCTCCCTGGAAAATCTCTGAATCTGAGGATAAAGTCAGACAAGAGTGAGAAAAAAAGCAGGAAGCTTCGGGAAACTGTGGTAGATTTAGAGGAAAAACCGCAGAAAGTTGAATTTTCTTTGATTCCTGAGTTCATGTTGGACTAATATGAGAACAGAAGGTTGATCTTTCTGTTTGTCTGCAGCTGTTTTCTAAACTAATAAAGAGATTTGGCTCCAGAGGGAAGGTGAGCTGAGCTGATGTGATGATTCAGATTAAAAGCCCCTGAATGAGGAGAGTTTGGGCCTTTACCTGAAAGATCAGCAGGTTGGATGCTTTCCATCATCATCCAGCCTGCTGCCATGGCAACTGATGCAGTCACTTATCATTGGAAAGCTATTGAACCGCCTGCATAAAAATCATCCTTTTTTGAAGATGAGATCAGACTGAGTTTAAAGTGATGAGCTGTTTGTTATTTCTGAGTGACACTGAGGTTTAGGTCACTCCTTATGCAGTCATTACCGTCTTTGAGCAGTGGAGAGTAAAGCTGCTTCAGATTTCACCTGCCTGACCTCTGAATGAATAACAGGTACTGAGAGAAATAGGATTTTCATTCACTCTCTTATTTCATTGGAAAATTCTCCTCTTAATCACTTTACATCTATTGTACATCAGTATAAGTTCTATATGTAGATGTTTTTGTGTGCAGGTTAAACAAGAGGGAATCTGTAACTTCATAGATTAATGAGTTAACAAGGGAGTCTGAGCCTTAAGTCAGCTGCTTTCAGCTCCCAATAGATCACTAACCAAACTTCTTCTAATAACTTTATTTAATTGAACTGGAACAGGGATCCTGTCTCATCTAAACATAACTTTTTCTCTGCTTCCATCAGTATGAAGCAGAAAGTTTAGATAGTGTCGGTGCATCAGGGCTTTTTTGAATGAAAGTCTAAACTAGAAACTATAAAAGGATGATGTGCATATAAATTGAGATTTTCTACTAATGTAATCTTTTTTTAAGCTGTATGCAGATTTATTAATAACCTTAAAGCCGTAGTTTTCACTTACTCTTCAGTTTTGGTTTTTAAGGCTAAAGAACCTTGATACCATGTCATCCATTTCAGGTGATGAAAAACACTCAGATAGATCTGATCGTAGTGTTTTTGTCACTGATGCTGTTCTTTCATAGCCTGGCTAGTTATAGATCAGGGTTTCTGTGGGTCATTAAAAATCATTAAAACTCATTAAATTATTATTTTTTTAATCAAGGCCTTAAAGGGATCATAGAATGATTCTATAGGGTATTTAGTGCTGGTCTTTAAGGTCTCTGAATAGGGTGTGTAACTTTGGTTGGGCTGTAAGTGGTGTATTTGCTGTCCAAGAGCTCTAATGAAGCCTGGTTAAAAGCCCTAGAATGAAATGACAGGTTTTCTTCCTTTTATGGAATGCTCATAAATATTTAGATGAGCTGTGCTCTGATTGGTTGGTGTACTATGAGCAAAGCTGCTGAGCAAAGATGCATCATAGCAACAAGCACTCACTCACTGAAACATCAAATTGTTGATATGGTAGGGTGACCAGACGTCCTCTTTTACCCGGACATGTCCTACTTTTCATACCTAAAAAAAATGTCTGGGGGGAATTTCAAAATCTCTCTCTCTATATATACATATATATCTTACAAGAGCATTAAAAAGCACTGTATAAACCCTGTACATGAGACGCCTGAACTGATAATAAACCCAGTTATCACAGCTGTAATAAAACTACATCCCAGAATCAGCTGAATGGAGTCAGGTTGACATTTACCAGTGGAGCTTGTTTCTCTCTTCATGTCACGCTGCAGAAAAATCCTCTTTTGTTTTTTTTTTAACACAGTGGAGTGTTTGCAGCAGATGGTGGTTTGGCTCTGGTCGCTTCTTTATCGGGTCCTGTTTACATCCAGAACCATCTGACAGCCTGGTCTCACTGCCAGACTACCTGCTGAAAACCATGTCTGCTCCCCAAACAGGAACAAAAATAACCTCTTTCTGCACAAACATTTTCTCCTTCTTTCTCTCCAGATTTCATCCTTATTAGTTTAATACATGAGACAGACATGCAACAGGTTTGAATATTCCAATACATTCCTGTTCTTACACATGGGGAATATTATTAGATCAAAACCAATTTAAGGTTAATGGAACCTGAATGTTTTCAGTTCTTTGTCAGTTCTTTTCATAAAGTTTTCAGTATCTGTGTGGTTTATTTCTGTTTTCTGTCCTCTGCAGATTGAATAATTTTCCTTCCCTGATTTAGCAGCTGAAGATGCCTCGATGCCTGCTGCTGCTCTACCATTATTACCAACCTGGTTATTTAACGTTAGTTATAGACTCGTCTCTGTTTTAATAGATCATATTCCATCGGCTGAACATAACGTAATTCAATCCAGTCAAGTTTATTATAAGACCCTTTACAGAGACGATTCCATCAGATCATCCAGTCAGATTAAAGGTCAGAGTCAGTGATTGCATCGGCTCATTGACTTTCTAGGATTCACTCCTCCTAAATGAGGATGTAGATGCAGTAGATATTTCCTTGCATTGTGTCTTTGATTCTTCAGCAATCAATCACACCAAGCACGCATGCGGCGACAGTTGAGAGGAAAAACTCCCTTTTAACAGGAAGAAACCTCCAGCAGAAAAGGCTCAGTGTGAGCAGCCATCTGCTGAGGCTGACTGGGGTTCAAGGAGACAGAAGCAGACATTCCAGAGGAACATAGCATCACTGATCTATAAATACTTTCTGTGTTATAAAAAATAACAATCACCACAGTTCACTCTGTCTAAAAAAGAACAGTTAAGCAGAGGAGCTCTGAGCCCTCCCAGTGCTTCTTCGGTTTGTTTCTCTGTGGAGCTAGATTGGGAAATACTTCATAACCCATCCCAGAGTGAACAGAACAGAGTGAAACCTTTTGTAGCAGTCATATCTGTCCTGAAGCCTATGTAGGAAACTCACAAAAACCCTTTCACCTCAATCATTGCCTTTCTCCACCTCTTAACTAATGTTTACTTAAAATGCTCTGAAAAGCATTCCCCTCATGATGTCATCAGGGGAAATAAGCTGTCCATAGAGGTCTGTATTAGCCCATCATTAGAGCTACGGTCTCCATCCTGCGTATTATTCCATGCTCACAGGCTATCTTTATGAACTCTGAATGGTTGTCATGGTTGTGGGTTATGTGGGCGTGGCCTTTAGGAGGATGAAAAAAACCAAAACAGCTTATCCCGAGAAGCGCTGAATAAGGTTTTTTTTGTTATAGGCTGTCTGCCTAATCTGAGAGGAATTTTCCTGCATAAAATGATGAAAACCTGCCCTGGGCGTCTCATTGTTAAGATATTTCTGTCAAATGTAGCAGAATATGGGACTTTTAAAGAGATTAATTAATTTTGAGAGCTAGGACCATGAGCGGCTTTGTCTCTGAGTGGTTTCTAGTATTTCTTTAATTTTTGTTATTATTATAATGGCAGTGTGGGATCATCTTTTCTACATTATTGGTTAGATGTAATCAAATCATTCCTCTCTAACAGGGGTTTTCCACCTTGCTCTTTAAATACGTTTCCTGCTATAAGTGTTTTTAGAACTTGAAACTTTAGATTTTATGTCCATAAAACCTTTTTTGATTTTGTAACTTTAACAGCCTCTTTAATTGGACCTAAGCCCATGAAGGTTTTTCTTTTTAATTGGTTGCTAACATCTTGCTAAATAGACCCAATTACTGTTAATTAACAGAGAGCTGTGCAAGCAGCCGGGAAAAAGAAGTATGTTGGGTAACAGAGGCATGTTAAGTGACTCCAGCACCTTTTTTTAGAATAATGAACAGTTTACCTTATATCATCAACCTTAACCTTTGATAATCAGCTAACAGATCCATACAGAATTATTGAATGAGGATGTTACATTAACAGGGATCATCCACAGCTAGTCATGGAAATTAAATGTAATAAAAACCAATATTCATTCAGTTTAAAAGTCAAACAATCTTATGAGGTTATTTTATTTTGTGTTCATTGCATAACTGCAGACTAATTTAGGAAACCTGTAATCTCCTTCATGGTGTCTAGATATATAATAAAAAACTGCTATAGAATAACTAATCAGTAGACTAATACGTCTGTCTAAAACTGCCTCTGGGCTCAGTTAACGTTTGTGCTGCGTCTTCCTTTTCTACAGGGTGGTAAATCAAAGACTACAGCAACTAATTTAGAATATCATGTAAATGGAAGAGGGGTTAAAACATTTTAAGCACTTGCTCTGCAAATAGAGCTGATAAACATGAGTTTCCCTACTAATGTCAAAATGTAGCCACATAACCTCACCTCACAAATATCTGGCACCGCAGACATCAGGTTTCAGATAGTGTTGCACCAATACCAGTATCGGACAGGGCTCCGATCCAACACTAAAATGGTGGTATCGGTATCGGTGAGTACCAACAAATAGGGCACTGATACCATTTTGAGAGCCAAAAGTTTATTCAACTATTGTCACCCATTCCAGGTAGGCAATAAAAAGTTCTAATGGATTCACTTTGTATTCGTCTTTTTCCTGCTTCACAAAGGTAGACAGCAGCTTGATAAAGCCATGACGGCAATTATTTTATATCCAATTAGTTTGCAGTTCCTCATATATAGACACACATCAATTTCAAACAGATGGTATCGGTATCGGCCAATACTGCACAGCTAGGTATCAGGGCCAAAAAATGGCAATTGGTGCTGAATTGATCCATCTTTGGTATCTGATAGATCCTATGTCTGTTATAAGACTGTTTATCGTTAGATTCTGTTCTGCTTCCTCATATATGAAAAATAGTTATGGAAAGTTATGCTAGACGGTACTGCTGTCCTCTTGATATAGGCTGTAGAAACGGTCTAAGCATCTTAGATATTCAACATTGGCTAATTGATTGCAGGTTTATGGTTTATTTAGTATGCTGACCAACAGCTTAGACAGAAATATGTATTTCTCAGCTTTTTGTTGGATTTCCCTGTGTTAGCTGCAGTTCTTGTTGCAGGCGTTCTAAGGGCAGCCTGGTACATTCCTTCCAATATACAGCCTTCCATATGAGCTCACCTTCAGCACTCATCAAACACGCACACAGAGACTCTGAAGCCATAACTGGAACTGTGTTTTAGACGAAGGGCACGGTGGCGATAAGCTCTGAAGTGTGTGGCTAAATGTAGAAGTCAGAGGTGATAAGAGGTGGCTGATGAGCCGACATTCAACCATCACAGCACACGGTCAAGAACAAGGCAGTTCTCTAACAGCCTGGAGGCGGTTAGAGCGAAACAAAGACACTGGAAGTTTCCTTTAAACAAAAAGGACATCAGCTTTTTTCTCTCTTGGATAAGAAGTGGAAAATCTTAGGAGTCCAAGGAGAGACCAGGAAAGCCATTCAGTGCATTACAATACTGTAAACCACTGTTTGTTATTGGATATAAAGTAGAGCTGAAAAATCCAGGAAGGAAGGCTGGAAGAGAGGAAGCCCCTGCAGGATACGGAGACAAAACTACAGGTCAAAGGTGAGTTCAAGAAGCAGATTCAAACCACAGGAAAGTGATTTTACAAACAAGAGAGAAAGGTTGTTTGTAAAAAAAATCCCCCCAAAGGATTCAAAAGGAAGCTAGAAAAAAAAAAAAAAAACTGACGGAGATCCAACACGGACAAATCAATGACCTTGAAAGTCTGATGACAGAAGAAACATGTTCGAACTAAGAGATCAGGATTCTGTTCATGTTTCAGGTATAGGATATATATGAGTTATTCCTCCTTAGTATTTGCTGATCCCATAAAAAACATATTGTTTCAAGCTTTTAGATTTTAATTAAGCATCTAATGCCGGGGACCAAATTGTTGATGTGTCATTCTAAAAAGCTCAGTTCTTGACTGATTTCAATCAGATCTGGTAATGCTCTAAGAAATGCAGAGTCTCTCATTGTTGAGGTTCCTCACACTGGAAAAACGATATAGAAATAAGTAAAAATTTCTGAAATTAAGTGTATTTACCCTTAATTTGAGTAGGTAAATGAGATACTTTGCCAATGGAATGAGTATTTTCACTCTAAGAATAAGATAATTAGATAACATGCGCTTCAAATAAGACAATACAATTGTACTTTCTTATTTTAAATGTAAATTGTCTCGTTCCACTGGCAAAATGTTTCACTTTCCTCCTCAATTTAAGAAAAAGGGCACTTATTTTAAGAAAAATTGACTGATGTAGATTAAATTTTTTTGCAGTGCAGGGGTTATTCCTTGGTCAGCTGTTCATGGATTCTGTACAGATTTAGGCAGAACATAAGAAAATACGTTTATGGATGAAATGTTTAGGTTGCATGAATGACTTGGATCAAGCATGACTTTCCGACGGTTAATGGTGGGTAACAATAAAGCCGTATGGTTAGGAAGAGCATGTAGAAGAGATGGACCCAAACAATGGGATGATAGTTTTACCAAAAGATCAATCCAAATTTAGAAATTAAGGGACATTATCTTGGCTCCAGACCCAAAATATGGATGTTTTCTGGTGGTCAACATAATCCTGCGACTTTACTTAAACAGCAAACTGGGGCATCAAAATCACTCTGAACTCAGAAACCTGTTAGCAGGTGATTTAAAGGGGTCGCTTCCATGCAACACAGGTGTAAAGCGGTTTCTTGAAAAAAAATAAAATAAATAGTTCAATTATTCATAGTGTGCTGAACTTTTGAAAGGTTTTTTTTTTTGTATTTGCAAAGAAAGCTGCTGACGGTGCATTTTTCTAACAGCATCATCATCCATCCTCATCTTTGTCTTTGCAATTAATGAATCAATGTTTCCAGTTAGCCATTTAAACACCACTATAGTATTGTATGTTTAGAAAATCTGAAAAAAATATGTGCATATTTCTAATGAACTCCACCTTTTCCACAGAGGTGACCAGCATGGAGGCAGAAAATGATTCGGCTGCTTTATCATCAGATGGAGGGGTGGAAAAAATGTTAAAAGTGGAGGAAAAGAGAGAGGAGTTTCTCCAAGAGACGATGGAGACGTCTGTGACAATGGTTCTTCATCAAACTGGATTAGTGGAGGAGAGAAATGAAGAAGAAACCAAAGAGGATGGAAATGAAGGAACGGAGGATGGGAAGGAGGAAGAGGAGGAGGAAGAGGAGACTAAAACAAAAGAGGTTTTAGGACATTGGGAGGCTGAGGTGAGAATCCGACCTTAAGCTTTAAGATATTTTGCGTGGATATTTATTTTAATGGAAGGAAGAGAAATGCTTGGATTTTCATCAAATTCATCCAGTTTGGTAAATCTCAGTAAAGGAATTTAATCAGAATGTTTTGTTTCACCATTATAGTTCATTTAAAGATAAAATCAGTATGTTCGTCAGTGAATTTTTTTTTTTTTTTTTTTTTTGTTCAATGTGGAAGTAAAGTAATATAAGACAATTGTTTGCCCTGATAGTGTTTACTTTGTCCTCTTTGAGCCTGAAAAGAGTTTTTGCGCTAGGTGTGATCAGCAGACCCAATATTGATGCTCCCTAGCGCCATCTACTGGTAGAACCTACTCATGCAGCCATCAACCTGGCTGACGGATGAACATCAGCGCTCACATTGCTGCTCATATCTTATCCCTCTCAGAATCAGTTTTTATTTTGTTCTTTTTCACTCTGGATCTTTGAATTTACTCATTGTAAAAAGATTTACTAACTAATGGAATTAAAACAAAGTGTAATAAGTAATAGGTCAACAGGTTTAATCCAAAGACATGTTTGTAACCAGAATGAGCCACTAGTGCAGGAGTTTGTAAAGTCATGGTATCGCATTTAAAACGCGTCTGAGCTGCTAAATCTGGCCTGACAGCAGAACAAGCAGCAGAACCTCCCACAGTCTGGTCCTCCTGAATAGTTCCCCAGCACAGATAAACACTTGTTCTCCATGTTCTCTGGGGTCTCTGAGGATTTTCTAGACTTTGATGATTTGTGCTTTGAGACGGATCCTGTCTCACGTTGACCTTGGCGCTGGACGCGGCCTGGCACGGCGGCTCACAGAGGATTAGCTGGAGAACAAATGAAAACGTCTTGTTATTAAGCTTTGATGCAGAACTTTCTGGGGGCTGAATTCAGCTAGTTGAGAGGCAAAGGATTAATGAATGAAAAAATGCCTCTTCTGATTAACTCGTTATGACTCCCAACAGTGTGGTGATTTTTCTGCCTGTTTTCTTTCTCTGTCATCGTTTTCAGCTGTTCCTTTAATAAAAGCTCCCGTGTCCTTTTTTTTTAGGCCTCCACAGATGAAAAGCCTCCACTGCCTGATCCAGCCTTTAACAGAAGATGCAGTTTGATCCTCAGTGATGTGAGTTTATGCCTTTTTTCCTCGTCGCTGTTTGACAGTCAGAAGCTCAGTTATAGTTCAGTTTAATTAAAACAGAAGCTAAATTTTAAAATATGTTAAGAAATATTTCTCCTTTAACATCAGTGACTCTCTGCAGACGTTTCCTGTCAGACTTCATTATTCTCTTTGATTACTGTAGAGGAGTCTGATCCACTCTTCTGTCCAGGCTTCTCTCTGGTTCTGAATGCCCAATTAAAGCGGGCATCCTCAAAGTTGGTCCTTGAGGCCCGCTGTCCTGCAGGTTTTAGAGGTTTCTCTGCTTTAGAACAGCTTTTTCTGATAATTGCAGTTCAGAAACAGACTTTTAGTCAACTTTCAATGTAAATCAGTTTAGCTGGAGCATGGAAACCTCTAAAACCTGCAGGAGAGCAGCCTTCAAACACCCACTTTGGGCATGCCTGCATTAAAGCAATCCAGATTAGGTCTGGACTTTGACTAGACCATTGCAACACCTGACTAATTACAATTTTTATCTGTATTGTTGTTAACCAGCTTGGTTGTTCTGTTGAATATCCACTTTTAACTCCAGCATACTTTGGTTTATAGTGGAGATTATGGTTCACTCAGCAGCAGGATGGTGGCTGTAGCGGCAGATGAAGCTCATATCCACACCCTGCCACCACCGTGTTTGATAGCTGATTGGGTTTCTCCCATCATGTTCATCCTTTTTCAAAGATGTTTCATCTGACTAAAAAACATTGTTCCAAAAGTCGTTTTTTTAATATATATCACTTATAAATCTATGTTTTCGTTGCTGTTTTCGGTCTTAAAACAAACATTTCAGGGGGGGTCTTTTTTTCCCCATTGAATAGAAATTGGAGTTGCGTCTTACAGCTATGGCCTCCATCAAATGGACATCTTTTAGAGATCTTTTTCATTCCAAAATTTAGTTTTTATACATAGGAAATGTTCAATGCAGCAGATAATATATTTCTTTTCTTAGCTAGGGTTGTTGCCTCCATTCTAATATAGTAGGCAGGTCTGCAAACTTTAAGCATCTTTTTACTCTAAGAGGTCAGAAATGATGGACTCTTCTTTCATGCCTCGTCTTTCAAGACCTGTGATCTTTCGTTTCGTTTTTTTACTTCTGTCATGATAATTTATTTTTGTGCAATTATTGGCTGAGCAGGTAGACAGAAAACAATTCGCAAAATGATTATTTATCTCTTTTCATAGAGAAAAGAACCAGCCTTAAGTGCTTTTTCACTAGTGGTGATTTTGGTGGATGAAGTGAAAGGTTTGGACATTTCTGTTCACCACAGAGCTGATGGGCCTTCTGTCATTCTGACCTTAGCTTTAACCTGCTGGGATGTCCGCTGATGGCTGGCATCTGAATCTCATGTTTTCCCAATTAGAAACATTCATTGTGTCTGTAGCTGATGGGCTGCAGATGGTTTAGATATAATCTATTGATTCCTATAAAAAGGTTGAAATGAAAAGTTTTAGTTTAGTCTTTTAACTTTCTGTTGCTCCCTCTTGCTTTAGTTACCTACATTATTTCATGCTGTTAATCTATCTTTTAGCTTTTATATCTGGTTAAAAGAAAAAAGAAAAAGTTAACTGACTTTTATTTTATTTGAATTTAATACTCTAAGAAGTCAGTATAGTGATTTTAATCTCAGAATTCTGATTATTTTCTCAGAATTCTGAATTTAATCTAAGAATTCTGACTTTTTTCAAAGAATTCTGAGATTATAGACATAATTTCAACTTTTTCACAGAATTTCACAGTTAACTTCTGTGTTGTTGTTTTTTTCAGTGACCTTGGAATTCTGTGAAAAATTCTGACAAAATGTCAAAATTCTGAGAAAAATTTTTGAATTCAGACTTTTTTCTATATTAAACTGGACTAAAATAAAAAATCTGTAACTTTTTTACCTTCCGTAGGTGAGACCAGTTGTCTCATTTATAAAACACTGCATGGAATTCATAACAAAAGTGTACATATGTCAAACATCTGCATGCCAAATATTATCCAGATATAAAACCATGTGTTCACAATATCTGCCTCAGGGTTTATGTCTAAGACTCCACCTCATGTTCAGTCCTCTTCACCCCCAGGGTGCACCATAAATGGTCCATATAAAGCACTAAATACATGTCGCTGTGTATTTAAATGGGGCCTTGGGTGGAAAGAGGCATAAGTTTCAGTCCCATAAATGAGACCCTGGGTCCTTTTATTCCACTGATAACCGGCTGCTTTAAGGTAACTCACCCATATTGGCCTGAACAGTTTAAAAAATGTGCTAAGATGTTTAATCTAAGAATCTATACATGCCTAAGTTGACATATATGATGAGAAATGTTGATCAAACTGGTAAACAAACCAAGCTGATGTTCTCAGAGTCGTGCTGATATATATAGAGAGAAAAGACAGATCTGGAAGATAATCGATGTTTGCAAAGGTTTGAGCTGGAGGTTCAGAAATAAACCCTCTCTAGATGCCAGCTGTTGTTTCTCCGTCTTGTTACGGCAGCGTTGCCGTTGTTAGGTTTCTGCTAGTGATCCAGCCGTGGGCCTTTATTCAGCTCAGATGGAGAACGCTTTGACTCCCGCTGCAGACGGAGCTCAGCTGAATGGAGATCAGGATGTGGGAGGCGGTGATATTGATTCCCTGCTGCAATTCAAACTCAACAGAATGAATCATCAGATACAGGATGCAGGTCAGGCTGCCTTACATGAAGAACTTCACTCATCCCTACAGCTTCTGTGGTTCTGCTGTTTCCAGACACCTCCTGCTTTCTGCAGGCTGTCCTCCACTCCCTGTTGGATCAACTTGATTCCTTCTTCTCTCATTCCTCTCATCTCCTCTGAATGAAGATGCTATCCTTCATCCTGAAGGCTGTTCAACCCCAAAATATCGCTGTTTCCATGGAAACAATCCCCAACAATTTCAAAGATGTATTTATTTAGAAACAACACATGGAGAAGGAGGACACTTAGAAAACTACTCTTTGTTCTCTTTGTTTCTGAGCTCCTAATAACTTTTGTTAATTTGACTTTAATTTTAAACAGTTTTCTCTTTATTCAGAGCTGCTCTTGACTTTAAAGCAGTTTAAATTTGGCTTGAGGGCAAAAATCTGACTGTAGATGTTTCTCTCTGTTCTAAGGTTTATTTTTATCAGCGTTTGGTTAATCTGTAGACTTTCTGTTCTGTTGCTTCTCCAGTTTTCTCTCTTTCTGTCATTGTAGTCGCTGAATGTGATAAACGTTCAGTTTAATTCACTTCAGTTTATTTATATAGCTGCAATTCCCTAAACATGTCATCTTAAGACGCTTCAGAGAGACAATTCACCCAGATCTCACAGTCAGAATGGTTTCTATGTAAGGAAAACCAGCTGATTGCATCCAATCCCTTTTAACAGGAAGAAACCTGCAGCAGAACCAGAACCAGGCTCAGTGGGAGCGGCTTTCTAAGGCCAGCTGACGTTCAAGGAGACAGAAGCAGGCAGTAGCGCGTTGTTTACCTTTGATCCCACCTGTAATTTATCCTTTATGTGTCCTTCATTGTTTCAGGTCTGTTTTACTGTATGTATTATTTCATTTTATATTGAAGTACAACTTTTATCAGATAGATGTAAGTCGAATTTTATTTAGATTAAATTTCACAGGAAAAAGACTCCCACATGATGGGGACTTGGATCCTGTTGCTAACAGCAACCGCTGCAGATAGCCCTTTCCTGGAAATGAAAAAAAAATCAGTCATAACTTATATTTTGTTATATATATCATCATGTTAAATATAAACTTTTTTACATGATTCTGATTCTTTGGCTTTCGCCTATTTGTGTCACAGTTTGGTTGAGGTTTGTGGACCCAAATGCAGAGGCAGGGAGTCAGAGGTGAGTTTCTTGTGGATTTTAATGAAGTGAAAACAAACAATGGAAGCAGGAATCCAAAAATCAAAACAAAGTCAAACAAACCAGAAACTAAGGAGACATCTGGGGGAAAACAATCACTAAGAGGAGGACTCAAAGAGATGGAGTTGGAGGAACTGAACAGAGGGTTTATCTATGCGAGACTGAAACAAAGAGAGGACTAACGTGCAGACTGGGAGCAGGTGTGAACAGAGCAGGAACAGGACAGCTAGGGAAAAAGGAGAACACAAGAGGGCAGCAGAGGGCAACAAATAAAAACCTGAAAAAAAAACAGAAAACACAACAAAATAATTAAACACTTATTTAATTAAATGATTATTTAATGGAACAAAGTAAAACAGAATACACAAAAGAAAATATAACAGAACCAAGACTATGCAAATTTGAAATTTGTTTATACTGCTTAGAATTAGATAACAACGTTTGTATTCAATGTATTCAATTTATGTCTCAAGTTAAATGAACTTAAAATGCTTTTGATCAGGGGTAACCAATTCAAATCAGCGGGGTCCGAATAAAGACAACAACCAGTAAAGGTTCTGAGACATTTTTAATTATAATCTGTTACTTTAAACAGAATTTAACACTGAAATAAAATGAGGTGTTTATGTATCAATTTTATACATTGAATTTTTAAATAAAAAATATATATTAAAAAAATCTAAAGTATTTTTTGAAGTAGAGAACAACTTTTTTTTTCTTTCTTTTTCATGGCTTAATGAGAGCAGTGGGCTTTATTCTGCCCTGCAAGGCTTTAAACCTGGTTTGAATGGAGACTAAGCCATTCTAAAGCACATATCAAGGAGCTCATTTTGAGCCTGGATCCAGAATTATTGTTGATTCTGTTCATGGTGGAGAATCCTGCTTCACAGCAGCAGGTTGAGCCAAACATCCTCTAAATGTTCAGGGTCATCTTTGAGCACCATTTCACTTTTCTTTCACCAGTTCACCTCAGTTCTTCCAGCAGTCCACACTTTCTCTGCTCTCTTTTTCTCATCATCTTCTCCTTCTTTCCCATCACCCGGCTTTCCACAGGTTTGCCTGCTGTGTCTAAAAGTAGCAGCAGCAGCAACCCAGACTGACAGCAGCTCATTGGATCATTGGATCACATGTAGCCTGGAGGGCTTTACCATATTAACAGAAGAAGCAGTGCAAGTGAAGTTAGACACTACTGTCGGAAAACATGCAGTATTTTATAAATGTTTTAAATCAGGATAGGGTCCGGATTAGCCAGCAGGTGGGTCTGGGTCCGGACCGCGGTCCGTGGCCTGTGTTTTAGAACAATGATCGCTAACTCCAGTCTTTAATGGTTGGTCTCTCATGTCTCTCTGTGTTCAAACACAGCTGATTCAAACAGCTTATTGAGTTCCTCACCATATCAACAGGTTCCATTTGAAAGGAGAACATCCAGGCTCCACTTTAGATGTATTTTACAAAAGGGAAAATCCAGAAAAGGTTTTCATCTAGGAGGTTTAACTGATTCTGTTTTCAGTAGGAATTCACAAACATGCAAACGATGAACTAAAAGTTAGCACAATCTTCTCCGCTCCTCCTTTGAATAGGTAACTAATAACAATCTGATAAGGGAAAGACATGCATCCAACATAACAAAAATCACCTTCATTATTCTATTTGAATTCAGAATATAGAATAGAAAATCCCTTTATTGTCCCAGAATGGGGACATTCTGGTGTTTAGGGGCCAGAATACTCATGCTCTTGGCAGATCATTTTACCTAATGGCTTAAATAACGGATAATTCAATTATTTTGAAAGGTTTACTCATTTTTAGCTTTATTATTTAGTGTAGTTGAAAATGAACTTCATCTAAAACAAAAAGCTCAGTATTTCTCTTTTTGATCCAATCAGCTTTCCTTCCTGTGGCTGGAGAAATTCAGCTGGTAATAAATCACCCTGATGTCTCCTCCTAACTGCAGGTCAGGTATAAGGAGGACTTTGAGAAGATGAAGGGTCAGAGTCGGTTTGTGCCTGGAGCTGAGCTCATCCACTCCAAGAACATCAGCGCTGTGATCTCTGAGGTCTAAACACATGTTTGATTCAATGTCCAAACTTTTAAACCATCTCATCTTTCCATTTAAACCTAATTTGTCTCCTCTTTCAGTCGAAGTACAAGGAGGAGGGGAAGAAGGAGGCGTCAATGTCTCTGTACTCCATCCTGCCTGAAACTCCACAGACGCAGCACGCTAAAGAAGCTTCAGAGCTGCAGAGCGAGGTCAGACATCTCCACATCTGATCCACTTCTATGGCCCCGCTGCAGAAATACTGAGAATAATTCCATCACTGGATGTTATCATGTAGGACAAGGAGATACGCTTTAATTTCCGAAAGAAATACAATAGAAAACGGAAAAATTTTGATTATTAAACAGGACATTTTGGCAGTACATTAAGGCCACAAGTGTAATAGTTTTGCAGACAATATCAACCCCATTATATGGCTTTAAATACCAACATAGAAACCAGATAGTTACACATCCAACATCAGGGGTGTCAAACTGGTTCCAGAAAGGGACCCTTTCCAATATTAAATCTTTATTAAATGATCTTTTTAATCTCTGTAGGCCTAAAAGGCGGCAGGAGCCCAAATTGGTGTGGAATTTAAAATGAGGCTGTCTTTGGTTAATGAGCTTTTTATCCTCTTATCTGTGGATAATGAAGCTGGTTTTGTCCCAGTAAACCGTTAATATTTCCAATTATTTCCAGCTTTAAGTCATGAAGAGTTCAGCCTCCTACAGACTCAAGCTGATAAAGTTGAACTGATTTAAACCCAAACTGTCCACTGGGGCCAATGAAGTTGCAGAATAAAGCTAAGTCATCCCTACTTTTTTACCATATCTTCTCAACCAGAGCTCTTTGTTTGACTCTAAACCTGCAGTAAATAAAAGTTTATAAGAATCTAAAATGTGAAACCCTGTGCTGCATTGCCTCATTCTTAAGTCATAATGAAATCAAATTTAAATGTCAAATCATTCTGACTTAAACATGTATATAAATGAACTCTTTATCAGACAATATTGTCCCAAAATTTAGAAAAATGTTTTCTTTTTTTTATCCTGTCTTAAAATCTGTGTTTTTTTTCTCTTTATCTTCTGCAGGCCAGTTAGTTATACGTCAGCCTAAACACCTAAATTCGGCCAATCATATATCAGCGGTCATCTGTCAATCAAATGTTTTCGATCATGCATCTTGATTCATGTGTCACAGCTAATAAACGCAACGGTTGAAATAAGAAATCAGAATCCTTTCCTTTCCCATTGAGTTGCGTCCCAGTGTTCACGGGGATGGACGTCTGTGTCTTCAGCAGGCGTAGAGCTAACAGAACTGGCAGCGTTGCGAGGCAAGGGCTCAAACATGTACGGCTGGAAGCCTTCTACACCAAACCAAGCTTCTGCCGCCCTGGCGTCCTCTTCCACAACATCTTCATCCCGCTTTCCTCCTCTAAATAAAAAATGGATGACGGAGGAGACTCATCCACGACCTCCGACACTAAACTCTCCTCCTCTTGCATGTTTCCTCTGTCCATAGCGTTCCTTGACAGTGTCGTTTCTAAGTCACCAATTTAGTGCTGCTTGGTCCCAATGGAATTTCCCATTGGGAACCTACTAGCACTAAGTTGCTAACTGGTTAGCAAGATGCTTCAAAGAAACCCGCTACAATCAAACGTGCTTGCGAACCTTCCACCACAACAATCCCGCCCCCTTGATAATCGACCAATCACATTCACTTTATTCACTCGTGTAAAGTTGTGCAACGGTTGGAGCAGCCGCTTCTCTACGACTTTAATGTCAGTCTCCAGTTGTACGCAGGGGCCAGAAAGGGCCCCTGTGCTGGAGATGTCAGTTTTACTACAATCAAATGCTCTGACACAGAAACCATGACTGCTTGGCTCCTTGAATCACTTTTATTCTACACGGTAACATTAACCGCGACTTAAATCCAAATCTGTTACACTTTTATAGCAACAGTTTGAACTAGAAGGAACCACAGTTTATATTTACTTACATTTACTATATTTCTAGATCAAACAATGAAATATTTACCTTTTGTTTAATTTTTTTTATTTGATCCATTCCTTCAATAAAAAAAACACGAGCCTCACTCTTTCCCTTGATTTGGTCTAGATCCGCTACTTACTGCAAATTCTAATAGTTAGCAAATTTTTTTTTCACTTTGCTTTTGCAACAATCAGGCGAACAAGTAGAATAAGCATTTTGTAACTACAGCTTCTAGGTGTCAGACAGGAAACCTAGCAACGGTGTAGATTAAGAGGATCCTGCATAAATGCATCAGGGAGCAATAAGGGAACTTCATAGGGTCTGATTAGGGTTTCTATGGGTTTGCATGACAGCAGGCTGCACAGTGGTTCAGGGATTTTGAGCGCTGCCTCAGTGGAGGAAGATTCTAGGTGTTGCGTCCCCTGGCTGGGTCTAGCACAGGGGTGGGAAATTCCAGTTCCTGAGGGCCAGTATCCTGCAACTTTTAGATGTGCCTTTGGTCCAACACACCTGAATCAAATAGAGATGGTTAGATGATTTAGAGGACTCTGGAGGTAATCCAGGCATTAGATTAAAAAAAAACATCTGAACAGGTTTGCATGTCAGCAATTAAAAGGCCATTCGATTTTACAAACTACCACATAGGTGAACGGCAGACAAAGGGCCCAGCTTCACAGCTTCACAGCCCTTAAATTGGATGCAGATGGTTGATGATTGGGCTGAGACTTAGGAAGCAGCAGCCAATCTTAGAGGCGACGCATGAAACAGAACATTGACTGTGTTTGAATTTATGGGCTGCATCTTCCAAGGACGCGGCCTACCTTGACTGGATCCTTAGAAGTCCTTGAATTAAAAAAGATCTGGCTGTAAATTCAAACAGATCTAGCCTTCCTCGGCTGTTACCACACAGAGCAGGAAAAAAATGAATACCGAACTTTTCAAAACTATTTCTTTAAAATTTTATTTAATTTTTTTATTATTGTAAAGTGAATGAAGACTAAACTCATAAGAATCCAGAGTGGAATAAAGGTTCCAACCACCCGGAGCAGGAACAAATAAAAGCAAATGCAATGAAACCTTAGTCAGTTAAATAACATGCTGCTGTATTTCTGCACATCTCTGATGTTGCTGCTATTTTCAAATATCCATTACTGTAAAAATGTCCATAGCTGGATATTGGTTATTTATTCTCCAGGTGCACAGTTTTATATTGTTAAAACACTTTACAGTATTTTATTGTTTATATTTTAACTCTTCCCTATTATGTTATTCTTATACATTTTTCAAGGTCCACATTTGTGTGACAATTTTCAATAATCAGTTTTGCTGCTGTAAACACAAGAATTTCTCCATTGTGAGACAATAAAGAGATTCTATTCTTTTGTATAAAAGATGTAAAAATATATAAGTAAATCTAAACAATGCATGTATAAAAATATATATCAGCAAAATCTCTTATATTCAGCAACAAAAAATATTTATTTTAGCATATTGTGCAAAACAGCAGTAAAAAATTTAACTATCAGATTTATAGTCCCCACTCTGCAGATCTATTAGAATCTGTCCTTAAATTACAGCCAAACCCATTTACACAGTAACAGATAAAAACCTTTAGATAAACCAAACACTACCGCCACATATCTGACTCAATAACCATTAAAACAACCATTTTCATTAATAGTTGTCGGAACTATTCACAGACTGGATTATATTAAACTGAACCAATATTCACCATTTTTCGACACCAAGTGCCTTTTTCCTCTGATCATAGAGCAGCCGGCTTTCTTGGTATTGCAATGAATCCTGGGATATCCAAGGATAGAGACGATACATTAGACCCGTCCTTCAAATCAAGCAAAAAAAAGACGCATTTGTGGGCCGCATAATGAGGAGCCTTGTAATCCGATCAGGCGCCATGCTATGATGTAATCGGCCTTCGAATCTGGCCTTCGGAGGATGCATCCCATGAACTCCAACGCAGCCAAATTGTCACTTGGGTGCAAAAACAAAATGAAATCCATCTTGGGGATGTAACATAGTTATATAACTCTATATTTCTATAACTCGTGCCATTGTGAAATATCAATGCAACGTTCATAAGCTGTATGTAACGCAATTTCGTTCTGTATGCACCCTGTGCATACAAAATGACAAATAAAGAAGTCTAAGTCTAAGTCTAAGTCTATAAGTGTGTTTGCTGTGTTTGTGCTGTGATGGATGGCCTCCTGTCCACAGTTCCATTGCATCCATATCATCCTCTGATTGGTGAAGGATCTAGAATCCACTGCTGTTTATTGGAAGTTCAAGAGCAGATGCTACATAATTCAGACCTTTAAAACGTGCTGCCATGTGGTTTCAGTAAACACCATCCATCTTTGCACAAACCCAAAAATTTAACCCTTCTAAAGCTTCCCTCCATTTTGACTGTTGGATGATGCAGCTACTGTCTGATTGCTCCAGAGCTCCACCATTGATTCCTTTAACTTATGCCTCTGGTGGCATTTATACACCATGACTGAACAGTCTGCTCACCAGTTGTTGGTTTTGACATCAATTCCAGATGTAATGACTTCACATATAGTTATTGCTGTCATCATTTTGGTTTCCTTAGAGAATTTATTGGATTAGATGTCCTCACGGAATGTGTTAACTGTGTGAGGATGTGACCTACATTAGGAAGCCTGAACACATCACTTCTCTTCCACTAAAAGAAAAGATGCTGCAGAGCAACAATGGAGTATTTATTTAGCATGTACAGATGCTAATCTACAGATAATCTGTTTGATGTGTTAAAAGTCCTATCAATCAGATTATCTGCATAAAAAGATTTCACTGAATTGCTGTGCCAAGATATATTGGGTTTTATGGGTTTATTGGTTTTGATAAATCATTTTATTTGTCCGTTTGTTTGTTTGTTGTTGTTTTGTTTTGTTTTTTTTAGATTAAATACAAAGGAAATGTGAAGACGGAGATTTCATCATCGCTATATTCTCTGCTGCCAGAAACTACAGAGACACAGTTTGTGAAGGAACTGACAGAGATGCTGAGTGAGGTCAGATGGATGGATGGATGGATGGATGGATGGATGGATGGATGGATGGATGGATGGATGGATGGATGGATGGATGGATGGACGGAAGGAAGGAGGGACGGACAGACGTTGGATGGATGGATGGACGGACAATGGATGGATGGATGGATGGATGGATGGATGGATGGATGGGTGGATGGATGGATGGGTGGATGGATGGATGGATGGATGGATGGATGGACGGAAGGAAGGAGGGACGGACAGACGTTGGATGGATGGATGGACGGACAATGGATGGATGGATGGATGGATGGATGGATGGGTGGGTGGATGGATGGATGGATGGATGG